CAAATGCAGACTTGATGTCTGGATAACAGCTTCTGGAAATATCACAGCAGGATCATTAATCAAAGTATTTGAGTCCCCACACTCATCCTCAACAGACTCCTCCCAAACGCCATCAAACTCCGAAGGGGCTGATGATTCGAACTCTTCTGAATCAATCAGCTCATCTTCTTCACCAAACAACGACAGTAGATGACCCCTCTGATACATCTTCATTGATACTAATATGGCAATCAAAATTACTCACTTTCACAGTAATCTTCACATTATGAATCACCCCTAGTTCCGTCTTAATCAGCATTCTCGCAGCATCTAACCGCTCTCTCTTACCAGTCTTCTCGTCACACCTGATAAAAGATCCCAACCTAGCAGTAATCGAACGAAAATTGTTATCGCTCCAAGCAATACTGGGAATGCCACTGCACACTACCCAGGCAAACCTATATGAGTCCATCTCCTCCTTATCCCATTGTCTAATTTCACTGAACCATAACTCCAACCAATCCTTAGCTTCTTTGATGAATAACTCAACATCTCCACCTGAACTATCTTCCAACAGGCACTTAGAGGCACCCATAGGAATGGCCTTAATGTTGAAAAAACCTTCTTCATTAATTATCTTTTGAATATTGAAAGCGTTTCCTCCCTCCATGACAACTCCCACTCTCATTCTTTTCAGCCTTTGAACCCAAGCTTCATCCACCTCAAGGTAAGTGCAAGAACCACCTCCCCAACTCTTATTACCAAACTTTGGCTCCCTCTCACTTACCACATTAGCAAAAGATCTAGTAGTTGTGACAACCTTCTCAGAGCTACTAGTTCTTCTCAGTTTGCTAGGCTTCCACTTCTTCTCACCTACCGGATTCACCTGCTTCTGATCCAAACCAAACCTGGGTAAATTTGCAAACATCTTCTTACCTTTTAAAACAATACTGTCAAGATTACACGCTAAAACTCTGGGATCGTGAACCTTCCTAAACTTACCGAAACCGAACCTTTTTCCCTTCTTGTCACGCCTCCCAGCTATGAACACTTCAGAGATGACTCCATATACCTTGATCACCTCAAACAACTCTTTAGCATTGTAATCATCTGGGAATTCGGTGATGAAGAAAGACACCGTCGGTTCCCCCTCCAACGCACCTTTCCCATTATTCTCCTTCCAGATTGAACAATCACCCTTCCTTCTATGTCTAACGTTCCTTCCTATCCTTTCCCAGACCATCACGAACTATACTTTCAATCCAATAAAGACCAGAGCGGATACCAAGGCCCCTAAGCTCGAAAGCTAGGAATTTAAGCCGAAAATAACCGTCTACTCTTCTGAGGATCAAGATATATGGCCAGACTCGAAGGATGAGTAGAAGAAAACAATGGATTAATGGAAAAAGAAAAGAAATTAGGGATTAAGGTTTTGAATTTGGGGGTAGCACTGTTCATTCTTCTTGTTTTTCTTAGCGTGGTGGATTATATTAACAAATGTACTTTCATAGCGGAGTTGCAACCCATTGTGATGGATTGTAATTTTCTGTTAAATAATTTTAAGTCTACTTTTATGGTCTATTAGAATAGAGAATGTAACTTTGAGGCTCATCATATAGTGAGTGTAGGTAATTTGTTTGGCAACAAATCTTGGCTAGGATTCATTCCTGTGATGGATGAAAGTCCTTCTTATTCTGTCCTTTTTTCGGCCCCTTCTTTTTAATATAATTGACCTCTTATAAAAAAAAAGAAGAAACCATTGAAAATTACATTTTAATGATGTGATATTTCCGCTTGATACTTGTACAAATAAAAGAATCTACATGATAAAATATAAAATTAATCACTCACTTAACCTTTAACTTTATAAAAGAAATCCATTGATCATCGAAAGTATTCGACCCCTAATACAACTTAATAAAAGTTTTCTCATTAATATCTCTCATGCACCTAATACCAATGTCTCACTTCTTAATATATAAGAGTTCAAACTTTGAAGCTTTAGAGATTTAGACTCTATTTGATAAAAATAGTGATTGACTAATAAGCTAGCTAATAGTTTATGACTGATGGCTGATGGCTAATAACTTATAACCGATGACCGATAAATAATAGATGAATAGCTAATTGAAGTGTTTGTTAAAATTAGCGGTTCAACTAGCTGATAAATATAAAATGACATAAAAGGATATTTCTAAATTATTAATAAAATTCATATTTAAAATACTCTAAACTTTAGTAATTTAAATTAATTAAATATTTCATATACTATTATTATATTAATTTTTGTATGCTATTTTTTTAAAAATTGTTTCAATTTTATTATAAAAAAAATTAATATTTTATATTAAGATGTACACGTAAAATAGTAAACATATGAGACATGAAAATCAACTCTATGTGAAATTACAAACATATACTAATATAAAAATATTATTAATTTATAATGAAATGCATAACAAATTAATATTTAAGATACATAAAATTAAACATAATAATAAAACATGTAAACGTTGCAATTACAAATCAATTACAATTATATTAATCCAAAATAATAATCAAAATAAATTTATCACCTAATATTCCAAATTAAAGAATCAATATTGTTACGAATTACCTCTGTCTTGGTTGATCTCCCTACTCCCCATCTGTTATGTCCCCACCTTGAGGACCAACAACAATATCTAAAAGATCATCACAAGGTATATAATTTGGATGTTACTCTAGGACAGTAAATATTGAGTCATCATGTGAGTTGATGCGAATATAGTTATGAAATGCAAATGCTGCTATTATAACATCAATTTGAGTCTTAACACTAAATTGCAGCATTTAATTTAGTATCTTCCATCTTTTCTTTAACACTCCAAATGACATTTCTATACAACTTCTAAGAGATGAATGTGCACGGTTAAAAATTTCTTGAGCATTAATTGGGGGTTCATATATAAATTGTGACTAATGATACCTTATCTTAGGATAAGGCACCAAATATCCTTCTTTATCAGGATATCCTTTGTCAACCAAATAATATCTACCTTTAAAAAAAAAAGAATAAAGATGTATTTTTTTTATAAAACAAACAATCTCAAAAAAAAAAAAAAAAAAAACAAACTTGTAGTAATGCATATAATAATACTTTTTTGTGGCTTTGGAAAGTTTAATGTCGGTGTGTTAATTGCATGAAGAAAAACACGTGTGTCATGTGTCGATCCCTCCCATCCAACTCATATAAATTTGAAACACATATCAAAATCACAACTAGCCATGACATTAAAGGTGGAAATTACCTTTCTACCCCTATAACGCATTTAGTCTGTCTCAGGAATACATGCAGCTATATGGGTACCATCAATGCATCCAATACAATCCTGTTAAAAAAATTAGATAAAGGTGTATCCATCATGATAACAAATAAGATATCACACATACACACACACACACGCGCGCGCGCACATACACACACACCTTGAAATAAGGCATGCACCACTCATCATTAGCAATATGAGGTGGTACATATTGAAAAGTTGGATCCTTTGGTCTTATGATATCACATGCTAGGCCTTGGTAGCCCCCACTTCTACCGCTAATTGCTAATAAAACCTCATAAAATGCTCTACTAATGGACTCTCCAGAATGTTTAGATCGCTCTCTAACATCCCTATTAGAAGCACCCATAGCAAGTGTATACACAAATATGTCCACCTTTTCTACAATTATCATTCTTTTACTTGGTTGTAATCCATATTTTGATTTCAAATCTTCATACAATTGTGTAAATAAAGTTGGATCCATTCTAAAGGCATTCATAAATTAAACAGGGTATCCACTCAATATCTCGCTCATCAAATTTTGTCCTCTTTGAAGAGAAGTCATACTTGATTTTTTATAAATATATTCATAGTAATATGTAGCAATTGCACTTATTGCACTTGATCTTATATTACAATAAAGTGCATAATTTTTTCTCTTATTTTCTCTTTCAACAATATCCATGATGTACCTACTAATAAATAAATATATTTAATTATTAATAACCATTAGGGCTGGAAATGAGTCGAGTCGAACTCACCTCAGCTCGGCTCGACTCGTTAAGAATTGGTTTGAGTTCGAGTTCGACACAAACTTTTTTTTAAGCTCAAACTCGACTCGTTATAAGTTCACGAACAGTTCGGTTCAACTCGTTAGGTTCATCTCATTAGGTTCATCTCACATGATTCACGGACTTAAAAACTATTTTTTTAAAATATATATATATATATTTTTTAGTATATTTGACATTTTAAATAAATATATATTTTAAAAATAAAGTATTAAAATAAAATAAAAGTTATCATATTGAAATTTAACTTTATCTTCGAAATCTACTAATTCAAAACCTACACAACTTTCAAGAGATACATTTGAGAGTCTAATTCAAAAACTACTAAATTGAAGATTAAATTTGTCTAAGATTTAGAGTAAATATTTAAACCTAATCTTAAAGACAATATAATTCTTCTCATATGTAATCGAGTTGACTCATGAACCTAACGAGTAGAACTATGTATAGTTTAAGTTCAACTCATTTAGTTAACGAACTTAATTTTTCGCTCATACTCAACTCATTTGGTTCATGAACCTAGTTCAACGATTTAATTGTCAAATCGAATTCCGAACTATTTTCGAGTTGGTTCGGTTCATTGTCAGCCCTAATAACCATATTCAACACAAACAATTCAGCACCAACATTAATAAATTCAACATAGATTGCATATTTATTTTAACTAGAAGCAAACAAATTTCAACGTTAAAAATTGAAACTAATTCTAAATCAAAACCATAGGCACAAGCCTTGTAAACAAATGTCAACATTCACAAAATTGAAACTAATTTCAAGTCAAAATCAAAGGAATAAGCCTTAAAACTAAATATTCATAAAAGATTCATTTCTCTTTGGAGTGCATATACGTTAACCATAACTTTCTAGACTTGTCATCTGCCATGTTTAGAAAAATCTCTCGCCTTGATTCATTCTCAATCTAACAGCCTCCAAAGCACCACAACCCACTACTCTTTTCTAAAACACCATCGATAATCATATGATTTATAACAGTCATTGTTGTAGAAATTGTATAACTACCATTAACTTCTTTAGTTGCATTTCCATCAAATTGCATTATTTCCAATGCCTTATGAGATTCAGATATCAAGGTTTCTATCTGACCAGCTAGTTTCACAGCCCCTCCGATTGGTTTTCTTTTATGATTTCCTTTAATAGGTTTGTTAGTCATGTTTTCTACAACTCTTTTTGTGCCTCCATCTTGACCAGTTACTTTTTTTCCTTCAAGACCTTCACCAGGTACTTGTGTACCTCCAAGACCTTGGTTAGGAAACTGGGTATCACCCACTTCATTCATAAAATCAGGCCAAAAAGAATTTTCTTCTTGAAGTAAATTTTCCACTTGAGAAACATGTCATTGGTATTCTACATAAATATATCCTCCATCACTCTGATGATGATGATTATCTTCCCCGCCATTTTCTTCATCCTCTTACTTAATATTAACATGTTCCACAGGTTGAACCAACTCATAATTCACAGAGGGTGCAACAACCTTATCCCCATCCGTATAATTGTCATCAAATAGTTGATTCTAATATTCCTCTATTGAAGGATCCATTGATTTATTACGAAAATTTTTAGCCTCATGTTTCTCCTACAAAAAAAATAACCATTAACTTTTAGATCTTATATTAAATAATTTTCATTGTAAATTAACTAGAAGTATTTAATAATAAACTAGCCTTAATTTTTCTATCACACCATTCATCTGAACAACTAAAATTTCCTGTAACATGATCCCATTCTAAGCCAGTTTCACCAAACTTCAGAAACCTCCAAATGCGCCAATCTTTCTTCATTATATCAAAATTATTCTTCAAGGTATTTACTAGACATTTTAGATTGATGGTAGCTTCAAATTCTTGGTTAATCTCTTTCCATTTAAATGATACACGCCCATTATTTCGAATGAACTTAAAACAAACCTCATAAAAAATCTTTTCATACTCAGGATCATCTGACCATTTAAAATTAATTCCTTCCATTTTATCTTTACTTGAGGCCATCTTATAAATTTGACAACATACAATATTTAAGATTAGCACTTTTGAATCATATAAGTTAAAAAAAATACATGGTATACAAGTAAGTCAAAGACATATATAAACACTAATTATCACATAAAATTACATATCAAATACTTTTATCATATACATGTTAGAACAAGATTTGTTCATGACATATATTCCTTGGGTTTTTATGATAAAAAAGTATTCAAATAACAATGGTTATATTTGATGTGTGTTTATTGTATGCAGGTTCTAATACTTGTAAATATTTAGACACATAATCTGTTATACAAAGGCACACTTGAAAGAAGCTAAATTGCTAGCTTCTGGTGGTGCAGAATCTAAAAAGCACTTGCTAAGTGATGTTTGGCATAGACTCTGAAGCTGAAGGTCTCAGCATCAGAAGATGAAAAATAATTGTCTCTACACTTGGTAAATGTAAATTGGCTTCTGGTATCGTTCAGAGTTGGTGATAAAGCTGAAGTTGTTTGTACTGCATAAAGCAAGCTGCATTATCAAATCAGTTTGTCAGTTGGAGTCTGAGTTGAGAAGGCTCAAGAAAGGTTGACATGCTTTACAAATATCTAATCTCAACGGATTTATAGTACAGGATCTTCTTGAAGACTCAATGGTTAAACATGTTACACAATAGATCAAGATCTTTTGGTGTATCTATCTTCAACGACTCTTGTACTATGGAGTAAAGCAAAGACACTGATCAAGTTATCTCATCCAACGACTAGTCTACTGAACCTGCTATACAAGTGGCTGAAGGTTCAAACTAAATCTTCAAAAAGGATTAACCAGAAGAAGGAGTAAGAAGATCAGCAATTATCAACTCTATCGTATATACAGATTTTCTATTGTAGTTTGTAATTGTAAAAGCCTTAAGATTTCTAACACATTGAATATATTAGAAATTTTAAGAGTTTTAGGTCTTTGTTATGGTAATTTCCCGTACCTATGATATTAGTATCAAGTACACCTTGTTCTCTATTCTGCTGAACTTGTTTAGCAGTTTAGATTAAGTCTCTTGCCAAGATGCTTGAGCCATGTAAGTCTCTTGCTATGTGATTGAGCAATGAAATTCTTAATTAAATGGATTGATTAAACATAAGTCTTGTATCATTTGGATACAAGCAAGGAAGTCTCTCTCCAAGATGCTTGAGCCATGTAAGTCTCTTGCTATGTGCTTGAGCAATGAAAGTATGAATCAAGTAGATTGATTGAGCAGAAGTCTTGTATCATTGGGGTATAAGCAAGGAAGTCTTGAGCCTGTGTGGCTTGAGAATGTTGACTCGGTTTATGAAATTTGAAGCGTAAGTCTTGAACCTTAGGGGTTCAAGCAGGGAGGCTCGTTTCATGGGAGTTGGAGCAGAAGTCTTGAGTTTGTAGGACTTGAGCAAAAAGTCTTGGACTAAGGTCTGAGTAGTGTAAAAGACTTATGCGAAATGCATAAGCGATTGTAATCATGTTTTAGTTATAGTGAAAATCTCTTGTGAAGCATGGGAACTGGACTACTCTCAGCTGGGAGGAACCAATATAAATCTTTGTGTCTTCTATTATTATTTATTTGCTTTTATTAATATTCTGGTAGGTGCTTTTGTTGGGAGGAACCAATATAAATCTTTGAATATCTTTATCACCAGCTCAGAAGAAGCTTATTGAATATATTCAGAGATAGTTGCATTCTGGTAGGTGCTCTATCTCACTTCTGAGTATATCAACATCATTGATATGTCTAATGCTCAGACTTTCCTTCAATCCTTGTGCTCATATTTGTGGGAAACAATTTTGAAGCTTGTCTAGTTACACTTCATCTAATCTTTTCAAGCAAATTCTTAAAAGATTGTTCTAGATTCAAACCTGAGGTCACAGTTATTCAAGAAGTAATACAACTTGAATTTACTATGCTCTGTCGGTTTGTCGTACAATCTTCAAAGAAAAGAAATGGAATTAAATGTTGAAAAGATATCTATTCAATTATCTTTTATAAAGTCTGTTGAAAGATACTTCCTATGGAATGTCTGATGATGAGGAATTAACCTTCCTAATTAGAAGACTTCTTAACTTGTTGAATGCAATGTGGCATCTGATGATATAAGAGTAACTTCAAAATCTTATGAAATATTAGCATCTCAACCGATTTCTCAAATCTGAAAGCAAGGAAAAACACTACCAGAACCTAATATCAGAGGTCTTCACCATATATTCATTTGAAGCTGACATTAGTCCAGGATTCAGGTGAAAGAGTAATCTGGCTCTGCCACGTCATTACTGCTTCTGAAGAAGCATCTGAGTCCTGAAATAAAAATTAAGTATTTAAGAGAAAGAAATTATGCGAAATCTATCTTGCTTCAATATTTGATAATAAGGAGTCTATTCTTTAAGGTGATATCTTAAAAGACTCCATTGCTCCTTGAATGAGGATCATCATGGGATTTGTAATAAAACACAAGTCTATGAGAAACCATCAATTCTTATTCCTGTTATGTAAGCAATTACATGATGGTGCTTAAATTTTTTTTATGCCATTCTCTGATAGCTAACAACATCTGGTTCTTTACTTATCAAAGGTTTTAAAGTCTTAATCCAAGACAATGAAATCAATGATTGTGCTAAGAACAAGATCTTGTTCATATCATGATTTATCCTAGAATTATACTCTAAAATGAATCATGGTACTACTATCAGAATGTGGCATAAGGAAAAGAAAAGCATGTCTAGACATTTATATATGGTCTCATAGGAATATGAGTATCATCATTCAAATGTATCTTCCATACTCAGGTACTAGAGGTACTGAGTTTGGTAGGAGAAGTGGAGTCAATGGTTTAATAGCCATTGAATCAGAATCTACTCAAAGTGGTGTTCAAACTCTATGGTCAAGTATGAATACTGATACGAGTCTGGCCGAGAAAACAACAACAAAAAACAGGTTATGTTCTTTTCTATCTTATCTCTTGATTCAATGAGGTGTTTGTGTATATGCAAGTACAAAGTCTCTGCTATATTTCTAGAGAAGTTATTTTGATGAAAGAATCTTCAGAAATCTTTAAGGAGAAACTATATTATATTTATCTATACCAAATATTTCTTTAGCTAGATGACTATCAAATTTATGGAAACAATTTCCTCACTTTTTGTGATAATACTATTGCTTGTTAGCGGTCAAAGAAAACAATTCAATATTCTTTAATAACTCATGACTCTTGCTTCAAGAGGAAATGTTAGTTTTAAATAGAATCTTGGAGACTGATGATTGACAGAAGATATCTCTTTCTAAGTCTAGATCTACTAGACTCTTATGGATGATAACTTCTGAAAATTTCCAGACTCTGAGATTCAGAAGAAGATTATTTACTTCTGATATAGCAGTTTAAGTAAAAGGTTTTTAAAAAACTTTTATATTACTTAAATTTCATAATTTTGAAAATCATCTAGTGGATTTAAGAGATCTGCTGGATAAGAACCTTTGGGTAATGATGCTTTCTTTTTTTTATATTTGCTGTCTTTATCCCCTGTCTTGTGAAACATCATTTTGTGTCCTTTTTTTGACAATATTATTATTCCTTTAGAATCTTGTTCAGTTTTTTTCTTTTTGTTTTCTCTTTGGTTGTGTTTCGATGAAGCTAAACTTGAGATGAGTTTCTTAGTCAATTCTTCTTTGAATAAACTAGTTGTCATCAATGAAAAGTTTGTGGATTTTGATGAGTTGCTTAAGTTAGGTTTTAACTTCTAGAAGACTAAGTATGAACAAAGTTGGAAATGATACTTTGATATGCTCTGTGGTTTCACTAATCCAAACCTTGTCAAAGAGTTTTGGATTAATGCCTCCATTGTTGAGCTGAATTCTGAGTGTGTTATTCTATCTAAAGTAATTGGTGTTTCTATAATAGTAACCTCTAAAGCGATTGCTAATGTGATTAATTGTGAGGAAATTGGAGAAATTCCAGGAACTCTTGTTTGGGAACACTATCTTCCTACTTGGTGTATCTTTGTATATCCATCAAATACATCATTGATCTCAAATCTTCCTGTCATACCCTAATTTTTTACCCTAAGATACCCACATCATTTGCATCACATACATACACTTTTATTCATCACTAACCCATTTTAGAAAGTCAAGATTGTTGTTTGTTTCATTATGATCACCAATTAGGGTTTTTAAGCTATACAGAGGATTCAGGCAGAGGATCAATCAAGAATTGGCATGATCTTCAACTTATCAAGTCCCTCAATCATACATGGAGATAAATATATCCCACTCACCAAGAATCAA